CTTAAAAGTCCATACTATCGCCCTGTGAGATCGCATCTATAAACTAGATTTATTTTTTTGGTCTGTATTTGTTGTTATTCATGGTTCTTAAGCAAGAATTGAAGATAGAAAGACTCAATGGGCCGAATTACAATACATAGAAAATAATATTAGCTTTGATTTTAGAGCATGAAAATTTAGATCACAATATTTCAAATGTAGTTCCTACTGAACCCACTGATATTAGCAATAGAGCAGGAAGATCAGCTTATGCTAATTGGAAAAAAGAAAATAAGAGGTGTAGGAACATAATTTTGAGAAATATGGATGATGAATTATTATAGAGTTTTGATTAATTTAAAAATGCCAAAGATATTTATGATGAATTGCTAATACAATTTGGGGTGACTTCTATGAGTAATTTAAGAGTTTTGAATGTACTATTCTTTTAAGATGAAAGAAAATGACTTTATGGTTGAACATGTTAGGAAAATGATTTTGCTGGGCAAACAACTTATACTTGTTGGTTATGCTTTGAATGATTAACAACAAGTTTTAACTATATTGAATAGTTTACCTAATTCTTGGGAGTCTATTGTGATTACTTTATCTTTAAACCACAAGGATCTTATGCTTCAAAATCTTGTTGTTGAATTGAAATCTGAAGGAGATCGTAGATCTTCAAGGAGGGTTGATGCACTTCGCATTGCTCAATCTCAAAACCCTCAAATTGGAGAATGGCAAAGTTTCAAGTGGGATTAATAGGAAAATCATTGTATGGGGGAAAGCTCGAGGGGACATGTATTTACTTGATAAAATGAATGAAATTTCATCTTCTTCTGCTTACTTGAATGTGTGTGATGATGAAACTTTTTTTTGTGGCATTATCATTTGGGTCATATTAGTATAAATAAAATTTATAGACTTGTTAATGATGGCTTGATTCCTAAAATGACGAATTTAGATTTTAAAAATTGTGAACCATGCTTATTTGGTAAAATGAGTAAAAAACCCCTTGGTAAGGCAACTAGATCTTATGACTTATAGTCTATTATTCATTTTGATATCTGTAGCCCACTTAACGTAAAAACACATAGGGGTATAGAGTATTTTATTTCATTCATTGATAATTATTCAAGATTTGGTTATATTTATCTGATTAGTAGAAAATCTGATGCAATTGAAGTATTTAAAGAATTTAAATTAGAAGTTGAAAACTAATTAGATAAAAGAATTAAAATCCTTAGAACAAACCGAGAAGGGGAATATTGTTCTAATTTGTTTGATATTTTTGTAAAGAAAATGGGATAGTACACCATAAGACCATGCCCCGCACACCCTAACAAAATGGTGTTGCTAAAAGGTATAACCGAACCCTTATAGATATGGTGCGATCAATGATGAGTCATGCTAACTTGTCCTAATTTTTTTGGGGTAAAGCATTGCATATTGCTATGTATATTTTAAACTGAGTTCCCTCAAAATCAGTAGAGAAAATACCTTATGAGTTATAGACTGGACGTAAACCTCAATTGGAACATTTAAAAATTTGGGGTTATGATGCTCATGGACTTATCCCGAGCCATGAAAGATCTAAGTTGTAGGCTAAAACTAGAAAATACTCATTTATAGGGTACTCTAATACTTCTAAGAGTTATAGGTTTTATGACAATGAGACCAAATCTTTGGTTGAATTTAGAGGTGCACATTTCTTAGAAGAACATATGAATATAGGCAAACTCTCTCTTATAGATATACATGAATTAGACAATAATAAATGAGTAAATGAAAACATAGAACATTATGAATCTAAAGTAGAAAACCTTGATAACTACATAGATAGTGAGAGTGATACATTTAAACATACTAATGTAGATGACAGTGGACCTAGGAGAAGTTCTAAGAACAGAAGAGCACCATATCATTTAGAACCATATCAGAGTTTTATTGCATGGACACTTTTGACCAATACTATAATTTTTCTTGTCAAGATATTCCTAAACCTTCTAATTATAAAGATGCTATTAATTCTGATGAATCTGATTTTTAGAATAGTGTTGTCAATAAATAAATGGATTCTATAACTAAAAACAATGTATGGGAGTTGGTAGATTTACCTAGTAGGAGAAAAATCCATTGGTTGCAAATGGATATTAAAAAGAAAACCCAAGGTTGATGGTAGTATAGATAAATATAAAACATGACTTGTTGCTAAAGGGGGTAACTAAAAGGAAGGTATAGATTTTGTTGATACTTTTTATTCAGTATTAAGGTTTCCTTCTGTTAGAATTTTGATGTCTATTGTAGCCAACCTTGATTTAGAATTGTTTCAAATGGATGTTAAAATTGTATTTCTCAATGGAAATTTAAATGAAGAGATATACATGTTACAACCTGAAGGATATATTGTTGAAGGCAAAGAAAATAAAGTGTGCAATCTAATTAAAACACTATATGGATTGAAGCAATCTTTTAGACAATGGTATTTAAAATTTCATGATGCAATTATCAAACTTGGTTTTGTTTCTAATGAAAGTGATCATTGTATTTCATTAAGACTAGTGGGAGTAAGATAGTGATGTTGTCTTTATATGTGGATGATATTTTGATTGTTGGAAATGACATAGATATGATTAATGAAACAAAATCATGATTGAAATATAATTTTGAAATAAAAGATATGGGGTTGCATCATATGTTTTAGGAATTAAAATGGATTTATGCAAGCCGGTCTCCACCCTTATTGATAAAGCAGTTAAAGTATCCATTGATTTATGTCCTACTAATGATAATGATGATATGCGAAATATTCCATATACTCAAGCAATTGGGTGTATTAATTATATTGTATCATGGTTCTTCCCTTAGGCCTCAGGGTTACTCTGATGCTGATTGGAGTGATGACTATGATGATAGTAAATCCACTTCGGATTTCATTTTCATGCTTGGTGGTGGTGTTGTATCATGGTGCAGTAAAAAACAAGATTGAGTTGCTTTATCAATCATGGAAGCAGAATATGTGGCTTGCAGTCTATGATCACAAGAGGTTGTTTGATTGAGAAATTTCCTCATAGATTTAAAATTGGAATATATTGAAAATGGGCCTATGAACATGTTATGTGATAATCAAGTAGCCATTGCTGTTCTCAAGGATTCAAAAATAAACTCTAAATCCAAGGACATTCGTGGGAGGTACCACTATATTCGAGACGTAGTGGAATATAGAGATATAATAATTGATTATATACCTTCAAATGAGATGATTGCAGATCCATTGACTAAGGTTTTAAGCCAGGAAATTTTCAAGAAACATATAACAGCTATGGGACTGAGATAAGTCCAAATGAAAATTCGATAATGGTTCATAAAATCACATTGGTGGGTATATGGAAATCCCATGTGGAAAACATGAGGCAATACCATATATAAGATGTCAACGAGCCTTCATGCTGGGTATATGGAATTCCCATGTAGAAAGCATGAGACAATGCCATGTACAAGAAGTTAAAGGGCCTTCAGGCCAAGTGGGAGATGTTTGAAATATGGCATATCAGGCCCTTTTATTTCAGGAATTTAATTTTTCAATAATGGTACAAAAGCCATATTGAATAGTATATGTGAAATCCCACGTGGTTGACATGAGGCAATACCATATACTAAGATCCATTTTGGAACTTTTATAAGATGTTGCATTGGAAGGAAACCTAGTGTCACTGGAGGGAAAACCCAGTGATGTGTTTGAATTCTTTGTAAGAATTTTTTTATATTATAGATGTACAAAGTATTTAATTTCTAAATATCTTTTAACAAGTTGTAGGAATGTTTGGATGACATCCTATTATGAGATTCATTAGTGCACTAATGACAAGTTTAGCTCATTGCATAGGATTAATAGTTTAGTGACAACTTGTTAATCCTAATTGGCTGCACTTAAGGAAATTAAGACAGGAATTATATTTGGATCTCAACTTCTATAGACCATGAATGTAAGAGTTACATAAATATGGTTCTCTATAAAAAGAAGTTAACCTCTCAAGTAAAATAGAGAAGGATGGAAAATTGGTAAAGGAGATTCACCATGAGGACTTTCAAGGTAGCCTATCACCGGATGGCTTGATCTATAGGATTTGATATGGAACCTTAGGTCTCTCGTGTGATTTAGGGACAGATCCAATTAAATTGTTAATCGATTTGAATTTTATTTATTTGTTGTTATTATTTTTATTGGGACTAACATGTTTTTCTTATTATCTTTTTACTTTCTCATATCTATTGTTTGGCCAGTATTTGGGTGAGTCAATTGGACTCGACCAAGAAACCTCGGACCAATGGCGAGTGCATGGGCCGAGGTGATCTTTGGTACACTGTATGCCATATTATAGTTGTTGGAAGTATAATACCTAGCCCTGTAGCATAAAATGGTAATTTCAAATGGAATTGAGATATCTTATAGTTCACATGAGTAAAAGTGGAAAACAACTCATGTATTTTTGCGAGTAAAAGAGAAAAACAACTCATCTTCTACCCTCTACCGACAAGTATAGACAGTGGATATTCGGCAAGAGTGCAACATCATACTTGTTTTACATCTTTAACTTCCAAGGTTATAGATACCCTTTTTATACATTTTTATGAGTAACGCAGATAGAAGTTTATTAGTTCAATCATGTTCATTCAATCTATTGTTGGCATGCCTAGCAGCAAGGACGACACCACAGTAGTCTCAAATTTTAATTCAACATTTGTCTGAGCTGCCCTTAAATGGTATTCTTTAATCTTAAACAACAAGTATGAAATATTGGCATCAATAACAAAATGTTCCCCCAACATTTCCTAGGTTTGTGAAAACTATTTAGTGAATATTTTAGAGAATTTTAGATAGCATTCATACACTTTTAAGAATTTTAAATAAAGCTGTAATTGATGTGCAATGAAAAGCGCCAAGTCTCTTGAAGTGAGAATTGTCGATGTCACACTCTTGAACATAGATTCTCAAACTAGTTAACTTGTATATGCTCCTTCCTAGATATGCAAATCATGCTCTCTCAATGTCCTTACTACAGAGAAATAAACAATCTTGAATTGGGTTAGTAATATGGTGATGCTCCTAGAAGAGGCTCTAGGCTAGCTAAGTGTTCTTGCAGAAACTTGTAAACCAATCCAGTAGTTGTCGCAGCAACTCGAATCACCAATCCCGCATCCTGAAAAACCATTTGTTGGGTGCCAAATTGTTGTCAGGTCATATATGAAGGAGGAAAAAATATTCTCTAATTTTGCTAAGTATACCTTCAGACTAAACATACTACAAGAAGCAATCAGCTCTGGCTTTGATCTTCCATAGGTGAGATCTGGTTTCATATCTCTGTCGTGCTGTCTTTTGCTTGTTAGACGCATACCAAATACCTCAGACATTTTCTTCTTAACCTTTTCTTGTATCTCATTCTGTACATGCTCCAACTTATGTCTACATTTTTGTCAATTGAATTATTACTAGTTAAAAAGACAAGGGTCATAGAATCAATAGAAGAGGAAGAATTAAATAGAGCAAGACTCTGATTGAAGGCAATACCTTAACAATATAATCATGGCAATGACTTGGTAATCTTGCATGCCACATGTGCCCTTCATACTACTACCTTGCTCCAATAATAGCTGCATCACAAAGAATCCCATAAGACACAATACAAACTGCATTAATTTTTGTATGTATGAAATTGATACAAGGGAATAGAGGCAGCAAGTAAGGTTACTGAATCAAGCAATAAAGGCTGCTGATCTTCATTTGAGATGATGTGGTTGGTGGTGTTGTAGCTGTTGAATGCCTACTTCTCTCCACGTTCATAACACCCGTTGTGACCCAGTCTACAACCACCCGACTCGAGCTCCGGGAGACACTGAACACTTGCTTCTGTTTGTATTTTGCACTGGCAAAACATGTCACGGGATGAGGAAGAACAGTCACAAGTGCGTTGCACCCAATCCTTACCTGTGAGTTTGCCAACAAAAATATGTTTGAGTACACAATATTCACTCATGCATGTTTCTTGTTACTATGGACTCCAACAGAAAATCTTCATATTTTCAAATCTATCTATTCGGGATTCAGACATGATGAGCTGGGTCAGACATGAAGGATTCGGGTGAGGCGCCCAATTATTGTTCAAAGTAGCTTTCTTTAGCCCTTGTGTTTTCTGTATTTTACTTGGTATCTTGTTCCTAGAAGCCCAATTTGAACTTGTTTAACATCCAAGATCATCTCTTAGCCCTCTTTCCTATCCAAAAGCAAAGTTTTCAATCAAAATCTCGATCATTTTCTAGCGTCAAAAACTTCCTTTCAATTTCTCCCTTGGTTCTCCACCAAATTCTTTGAAGTTCGTTTCAACTGGTTGTTTTGGATCCCTCTTACAAATCCATATCATAATTTTTTGGATCAAAACCCTCGTTCAAAGAGATCTAGAATTGAAATTTCGATAGTTTTGAACCCAAAATCAAGATTCTTCGATTTCTCACCAAACTCGTTCAACTTTGTCTTGAAATGTTCCTTTTATTGAAAACCAAAAATCCCAAAGATCTAATTTGGGTTTTTTTTCACCATCTTTTTCCTCTATTTTCTATAAGATTTTTTTTATCTTAAGTTATGACTTTGATTTTGATTTATAGTTGCTATCAGATGAAATCAAAATTCATGCTAACCACTGGATTATTCTTTCACTTCCATGATTCAGAATCAATACAAACCCCCTTATCAACTATCATTTTCCCTTCATATTTTAAAAAAATCATTCGGAAATACTTGATATTCAAAGAAGGATAATTTGAAGTTGCAGGCACTAACTACAGTAAATGACCACAAATATTTCGAGAGAGAGTGAGAGAGTTGAAGATGCGTTTCTGCTAAAGTATACCTATTCAAAACCAATGGAGAAACAGCCAAATTAGCCACCTTTACCTCTTAATGGTCCTCTGAATATAAGGGGTCCTTTAGTTCGGGTGAAATAATTTGATTGGAAAAAATTTATAGAAAAATATTTATACAAGTATCTACAGAAAGATAGCCCAAATTTAATCAATTAATCATGTTTGACAGAATTTATAAGAAGAAAAAAGAAAGGAAAATTATACATACCGCCTGGACTATACTTCCTAAGCATGCTTAGTATAAGTACTTTTTAAACTACACTATCAATCTCAATAATAATTAATTTTGCATCTACCCTCAAATAAGAATGTAGTTTTTTAGGATAAAAATACCCCAATGTATAAACTAAAATTTGAGATAGTTTCTCTCTAAAAATTTAAAGAAAGTTTGTTTCTAAAACTTAAAATTTGTTAAAGTTTCTCTCTCTAAAAATTTTAAAATATTTTTTCTCTCTAGAACATAAAATTTGAGAAAGTATATCTCTTTAAAAAATTTGAGATAGTGCCTCTCTCTAAACATTTTTAAGATAATTTCTCTCTCTAAAAATTTTGAGATAGTTTATCTCTCTAAAACTTAAAATTTGATATAGTTTCTCTCTCAAAAATTTTGAAATAGCTTTTTGCTCTAAAACTTGATATTTGATATATGTTGTCCCTCAAATAAACTTTGAGATAATTTCTCTCTTCAAAACAAAATTTCACATAGTTTATCTATTTAAAATTTTGAGAAAATTTCTCTCTAAAAACTTGAAAGTTGAGTAGCTTTCCTCTCTAAAACATTGAGATAGTTTATCTTTATCATCAAGAACATCATTAAAGCATTTTCCCAACAATTTTGGATCAGCTACACGAATCCTAGTCCACCATTATGTTCTATCAAAGGTCATACCCTCAGTGAGGTCATTAGTCCATATATCTCTTCTCATTACTTCCAACCATGTCCTTTTGGGCCTATCTCTTACCCTTTTTAGTCTTCCACTTGAACTAATATGCACCTCCTAACAATTGGTCGGCCAACCCCAGCGTTAGATCCCAGCCCGCCCCACACATGCATGCTCATGCGCCCACATGTGATGTGATATGGCACCAATGTCATGCGGTGTGCTTGGATAAGGCGTGCAATGCAATGCGATGGCAAACCAATATATTAAAAGTTACGAGACAAGAATTACCTCAAAAGATTGGTTAAGTTAGGGATGCGTTCGAGCGGTGGCCCTCGTAGATCCCGACTTATTATCACCCGTAGAAAGCCTTCTGACATCTGTCGGTCAATGAGGCATGGGGGCATATGAGCCACGGAGATTCTCCCAAAAGGATGAGCCTTCTGGGCCAAGCATCCCTAGTTCTCCTTGGGTGAGCTTTGTGAGCCGAGCACAACAACATGAGAGGAGCCGGACTTATGTTGTCATGACCCGTGAGCTTGGGACGTGGTTTGATTCCACTCCCGCGCATGTCTTGCAGCACTAGGGACTACGGGTCGTGCGCTTGTGATTGTTGATGGGCTTATGCAATCGTTGTAGTTTTCCACAATCATTTTGATATATAATTTACAAAGAACCATGAAGATTTGTTGGAGTTTTGATTGTTTTAGGTTTAAAGGTTTTATGCTAATCTTTTTAAATACTCTTCGATCATTTGCTTCATAAATGCCTTGGTTTTTTTTTTTTGTTTGGAAAATCTAAGGGGACCTCATCATGAACATTTTGCATCAAAAAGAGCACGAGAAGACCACAGATCGGCCAAGTTATGGTTTCGACAAGTTGTCATACACCCAGAGTTCTGCTACACCTAAAATCTTGCCCAATTTCAAGTCTCGAATGGCCATCAGTTTGGACCATGATCATCATCTTTCATATGTCATTTCAAAGGTATTTGTGTCACGATCAAAATGCACCAAATTTGAGCTCACGTTGACCGTCAGATGTTGGTTTATGATAGAAGAAGTGAGAGAAGGTCAGGCAAACTTGTTTTTGCATGAATTTCAATATTTGCGGACTTCTCTCTAAGATTTTTTTCGATTCGACCTACTATTACGTCCAAGGCCTAACCCAAATGAACGTGCTCGTCGAACAGCACAACATAACCAAATTTCAGCTCAATCTGACTTGTTGAACAGAAGATCCAAAGGTGTAAAATTTGCCCAATTTTGAGGAAGTGTTGCATGATTGTACTATATTTGGTAATTGGTATAAGCTTTAAAATATTGAATACTATGAAAATAATACTTTTTCGAAAAGTATGGCTTGGGAAGGTCCGCTTAGCTTGAAATTTGGGGGTTTAGATTTTCGACCTTTTGATTGTATCTGTGATAGTCCCAAGACCATCTGAGGTAAAATTTTAGGAGTTCTACTGTATTATTTCCCTTTATCTGTTGTCCTTGTTACCGTTTCCGGTCAGGCTGAAATTTGGAGAGTATCTTTTGAGTAATAGGCCCAACCTTGATGCTCTTTCTTGCGTCTGAATTAGGCCATATAGAGGTTCTTCAAGATACGTGCTTTATTACGCACGTGCTTTCGTGACTTCAACGTTCAAAAAAGTGGATTGGGATGCCTAGGCATTTTGGGTTCTTGGCCGCCTAAGCGCCCGCTCATAGACAGAGCGCACTCATCAAAGTCAACAAGGCAAAATAAAAAAATAAATATATCAAATCATCAACCAAACATGTAAATATATTGTAAAGAAAAAGAAAGGTAAAAGATAAATACATGATTCGCAACATAATACGTTGTAGAAAAATAAAATCGAAACCTCTTTCAAATATGATAATACTTTAAAAATATCACAATCAAATCGATGTCGGTGCAAACTTCACCTATTGGGTCGCCAAAAGTCATCAAAATCAACTACTAGAAGCTCTAAACTCCCCCATCAACTATTGCATTTGTTTTGAGAAGAAACCTCAAAATTAAAACTTTATCTATCTTTCGATAAATCACAAAAAGAGTAGTTTTTTGGCGTTTCGACTACCCCCCAAAACTCTTTCCCTCCTTTTTAGGAGGGGGAAATGGCCTTTTGTTTTTACCCTCGCCGAGGGTTTTTTTCACCCTTTCGCAAACTGTCACTGGGCAACGCCTAAGCGGGTGCCCAGAGACAGGCTGCATAATTCCACCGCCCAGACAGTGCCTATGCAGTTGTGTGGCCGAATTCTCTCATCTTATTACATATTGGAGCCATACCTTAGCTCTCGTGAATGTATTCATTTCAAATTCTATCCCTTATTGTCTGGCCACTGTTCATCTCAACATCTTCATCTCTGCTGCACCCATCCTATGGGTATGTATTTTCTTGACCTCCTAAGCAACATTGGTCTCACACTTGTCCTATAGAATTTCACCTTCAGCTTCATTGATATGCGGCGATCATATAAAACTCCAATTGCACATCCATTTCGCCTATTTAGGTGTAATCTTATGTGTGATAGCTTCCTCAATCTCTCTACTTTCCTGGATTATTGACCCAAGATATCGATAGTGCACTCTGTTTTCCATTTCTTGATCATCAATCTTAACTACTTCCTCATCTCTACTCTTATTATTACTAAACTTGCATTCTATATACTCAGTCTTAGTCTAACTAATTTTAAAACCTTCAGATTCTAGAGCATTCTTTCAAAGTTCTAACTTTCTGTTGATGTCGTTTTGAGTCTCATCATTCTAAACTATATCGTCTGCGAAAGACATACACCACAACACCTCATCTTGTAGGTGCTTGGTTAACTTGTCTATAATTAAGACAAAGAGATATTGGCTCAACACTAACCCCTAATGTAGACCTATTGTCACTGAAAACTCACTCGTCACTCCACTAGTTGCTCGCACATTAGTTGGCACTCCCTCGTGCATATCTGTCAGCAAGTCAATATAGTATATGGAGATTCCTTTTTTTTCTAACACAACCAAACTATATTTTTTTTTTTTTGGTTCCTTCTTCCTATTTTATTAGGCATTTGAATAACAAAGAGATGCCCGAGTTGAAGCAAGGATTGAAAAATGGGCAATTCTTTTTTGGTTATTTTTTTCTCCAATTATGTGTTTCCTTTGTTCGATTAATTTGTTCAATCAACTTCTC